TTTTTTTTTTTTTTTTTTTTTCATGCTGCAGGTGAAATTACTGGGGCTTTGGAAACCGTGAGCACAGAAAGCTCTATTGACACACAACGGGGTCAACATCAGGCATCAGCGCAGAATTTAATTCTCCGCTTTAAGCGAGTTGGAAGTGCCCAGCTTACCTGCATGGGACTGCATGTGCTCCAGGAGATTGTTATAAAACTGGAACTGGATTCCACAAGCTCCACAGGTGTAAGGCTCTGTTTGGGAGAAATCAGTTCAGAAGAATTATACAGAGTATGCAGGGAAGCAGCACACGTGCATACTTCACTTTGTACAGTAGCGGGGCAGTGCCTTAGGGCTCAGTCCTTGTCACCTCGGCCCATGTGCGCACGTCACAGCGGCTCCTTAGAACCCAACGCGCAGGGCTCGAGCTGTGATTCGGGGAAAAAGCTAGGGCACGTCACTGCTTCCTGGGCTGGGCTTGGGAATTATTCCACGTGCCTCACTTTGCTGCCACAAGAAGGACCGGGATGGCAGAGGGACAGCTCGCGGACTAAAGCGAAGCACCTGCTGGCGAGTGCGTGGGGATCTCGGTGACCCTGCACCAAGAGTCGAGAGGCTGCACGCTGAGCAGGACTCACAAGCTCACGCCTGCTGCAGGCTGTTTGAACCATATCCTTGTTCTTTTTAAGCCTGAAAGCAAAGCACGGTGAATTCATTTCACATCCAGTTCTGTCAGATTCCAGTCCCTGCTGCCTTTCCCAAGTAAGAAAAGAAGCACTGGGTTGTAAAAAACCCTGCTGCTCAGAAGCTGGGGCATGGAGGAGTGCCATGGGGGGAACTCAGCTTGGGGATTTTTTGTTGGGTTTTTTTTTTTTTTTTGGGTCTGTCAACAAGTGCAACGAGTCTGGGGACTGGTGAGTGCCACCAGGCTGGGCAGCAGCAAGTCGCTGGGGTAAGCAGAGGTGGAGGGGAAGACGCACAGAAATCGGAGCTGTGCCAGAAGCCGGGAGCAGAGCGGGAGAGCCATGGTGCCAGAGTGATACGGATGAGCTGGAGTCAGGAAAGAACTGGGTGCAGAGCTCCCTCATGAGCTGAAAGATACACTTAGCTCTGTCCTACTAAGTAGGTTGAAAACGCATTTTTTCCACCGAATTAAACTAATAGCGAATGTTTGTGGGTGCTCGTTTAAATAGTATTGGTTGAGTGCAGTAGTTGACAGATGTAAAATCAAACTACAGTGGCTGAAATATGTTAACATTGCAGTTCGCTTCTAAACCTCCAGACACATCAGCCACGTAGGCTGTGGCATTTTGTTCTGTAACAGCAGAAAGGGACAAATGCAAACATTTGCCATATAAACCGCTTTGCATATAAATGCCTGGCACACACACACAGAGCAAGGTCTGTTGTGACAACATATCTGCTTTCAAAGGGAAAACTATATTCAATGAATAAGCAAAAGCACCAGCACTTAGGATGGAAGAACCAAACTACAGGAACGCACAAGGCTGACTTGGCTAAAATTTGCAAGAAGTCTATCTCGGGTAGCAAAGCTCAGAACTCACCAGACAGCTACGGAAGCTGTGAGTAAAAACACAGAAGAAGGGGCCCTCTGGATGGGCTGTGCTCATGCTCAGTGCTTTTTCACCTACTGTATTTTCTTGTGATGCTATTCGTGTGTTTCGCTGTAGTGAGGAAGTTTGGAAATACTATATTTAAGTAAATGCTTGTGGAAAAAAAATCCCAAACGACCAAGACTTTTGCAGCCGGGCTGCGCACTTAAGAATACTGAGGAATTTCAGGACTGGGGGAATTAACACGGACTGGCTGTTTCTGCTGAAATCAGTAGGGAAACAGTCAGTTGGGGTAAAACACCAAAAGAGGAACAATGTAATGTAGACTTCCTTTGCAGCTACCAGAGAGAAGACAGCACATGGGTGCAAACCATCCCTTTTAGGTACATCTTTCCATGTCAGATGACTTGTGCTGCACATGCACCTACTGGCCTCTGCTCTCTATGGAGCCTGGACTGCTCAGATGGAAATGTCTCAAACTAAGTGGGTTGACTCTTCTTTCAAGTGTCAAAATTAATGTTTAATAATCTAATGAAAGAAGTCATGCTTCAAAGAGCCTGCTGCATGATGCTGACAGGTTCCTGGCAGGGTCAGAAGAGCCGCAGCAGCTGACAAAGCCACTACCCCTGTCCCTTGTTCCACTGCTTTGCTGGAAGCTCTTCCCCCACAGCCGAGTCGGGAGAACAGAACGCGCTGCACACCTCAGGTGCTTCTTTCAGGAAGTCTGAACGTCACACTGCGGTTCCCCAGGACGCTTTCAGCTCTCCCTGTGCCACCTAAACACAAGTGGGCATGTGCATTCC